CGTGTTTTAATTTATCCACCCCTTCCACGGCTTACAATTATATAAGGACAAAAGGGTACATGAACTTGTGCTTTACTTAGACAGTCAGGTTGTAAGAAACAAGGCTAAAAAATAAGTGCATCCCAAGACCTGTTGCAACATGAGTTTGAGTTTTTATTTCATCATATTTCTTGTCAGATTTCCTTGAGAATCCCATCACTCTCATACAACTGGTAATACCATGGACATAAGCGTGATCCCTTGGCTTATGCAATCACAAACTTGAGACTTGAGGGAGTGAAAGACAGAAACCGTAAACAACCTTGATATCGTCTTCAATCTGAGTAACACTGCAAGCTGGGACATGTGGATTTGGTATTATTCACCACAGGGCGACCACTAAAAATAGGCACTGTTGCAACTCTACAACATCCCACATGCAAAGAGTGGGAGAGTTGACAGGATTAGCTTAGTCTTAAATCTTGTGTGTTAGAATCATGAAGCAATCCCTTTAGAATTGCTTTCATCATAACCCTTAGGAAGCTACGGAGTCCAGCGGTGGCCATAAAGAGAAAAAAAAAAAGGAATGTACGCATCCTCCTGCTAAATTTGGTTAATGCAGTCTAAAGACCAACAAAGTTGTGCTATTTGTGACTGTGCATTAAGGGCACGTTTGTCGCTGCCTCTTGCTTTAATTATGCTTTCTTCAAAAACATGCAGAGGCATCGGAAATGCTTTTTCAGCCCTGACTAGTGTCTTCAGGTATTCTTTTTGTGCTGTACAAAGCCCTGACAAAATCCACCAACAAGTTAGGGCAGCCTGTATGTAACCTGAACAAAGCACTCCCCACAGCACTTACTCCCACTTGTTACACTGTAGGTGGTGTATTAGCAATCCATCTGGGCAATATATTTTTCTTGGCAGCAAAGAATAAGACTACTAAACAGCCTGTTTTAAACAGAAAAGAAATGAAAAAAGTAATGTTTATCAACAAGTTTAACCCAGTAACTCCACTTATTTAGTAACTTCCCACCTCCACGTACCAAGGAGTAGCGTAGACATGATCTATTGGTGAAGTCCGATGGTCAAAGAAGCAGTTGATTTGAAGTCAGTAAGTGATTTTATACAGTCTATAAGGAGACCATATTTCTGTCATTTCGTGTTGAATTATTTCCTGTTTTATTTTGTAATAATGTCAGTAACTTCCCTCCCTGCCAAATTCAAATCCAACAAAAATATCCTGTTTCAAAAGCAGTTTACAATATTCACATATCTTATATTACATACATATTAAATACATAGGTGTCGTATATAGTATGTTGTATTTTAAAGCCCAGTGATTCCTAACCTTTTACCTTAGGGGGGCCCTTTTCTATGTTCTAAGTGACATATTTTATGGATACTTCATCTTATATTCAAAACTGTACGATGAACCCAAATAGTGAACACAGTAACTGCAATAAGTTTGTGTAGAACAAGTGAATTTGATGAATTCTTAGCAGATTATTTCCTGTGTAAGGAACTTTTTATACAATTTTGTATTATGTATTTATTTATTAATAACTTTTAACAATCATACAGACTTACTAGGTTTCTTTTTTGACAAATGTTGTGTTTTCTTGTGCCTGACGCTTGGCCATTGTCAGATTAGACAATTACCTTAACAATTTACTTGACATTAACTTTTCTTCACAAAAGTAAACCAAATGCTAAGCTTTTTAAAGTTTTCTTATAATTCAATTCAATTCAGTTTTATTTGTATAGCGCCAATTCATAACAGAAGTTATCTTATAAGCCTTAAAACCAAAAAAAGCCTATTTTTTAATTGTCTTTTAACTCTTTAAAGGCTGGCATTTTTTTAATTAAATGTATTAAAGTATTCCCATCTGATGTTATATTTTTCACATTTTAAGAGAAAGTGCATCTCTGTGTCAACCTCACCTGTCAGTGACCACAGATTATTTCCTCTGTTGGTAGACAGGACTTCTTGTGTGGTCCTTTCTCTATGGTGAGACTGTAGTCACTGAGTCTGTTTGGTCAATATCTGTCTCTGCATTGTATCTCTGACAGTAAATAGATATTCTGACAATTCACATTCATGGGTTATGGCCCCATAGCAAAGAAGTTTAGTTTTGGTTTGAGCATGTTCCAGATAAGCATCTTTTGTTAATGTAACTATTTGATTTACTCTGATTGTTGACTATTGGAAAGCAGTGCTGGACTGAGGTTGAACATTATTGGATGTTATTTGATCAGTAAGTCTCAGAACTAGATTTTAAGATTTAACCAAAATGTAAGTGTTTTTGTTTTCTTTGTGTATTTTAAAAATTTCAAAATCAATGGGTAAAAAGACCTAATTCTGGGCATCTGGTTAGCTCAGTGGGCAGAGCTGGTGACCCATGTATCGAGTCGTTGCTGCAGCGGCCCAGGGTTCGAATCTGACCTGAGGCCCTTTGCTGCGTGTCATCCGCCTCTCCCTGCCCCCCCTTTCCTGTCCTTGTCTTCCAGCCTGTCAACTATCATGCAAAAGGCATAAACAGCCCAAAAAATATACTTAAAAATAAAAAAGACCTAATTCTAAAAAAAAAAAAAAGATATTGAGAGTTGCTAGTTCTCTAAAGAAGTACAGGCCGGTGTGATGAATCAATACTCTTTATTGCATGCAGCATGGAGAGAAGACCTCAGCATGGATGTTCTCTTCGGGCCCGTCCACACGAGTACGTTTTTGTCGAATCCGCATAAATACTTTATCGTATCGGCCTCGCGTCCAGACGGATACGGCTTTTTCGAGGTGTGAAAACGGTATTTTTTGAGAACGGGTCCCAGAGTGAGAAAATCCGCCATTTCCTTTCAGATTTCCTTGCTTTTTGCTTCAATTGGCGGGTTTGGTGGTTGTACCTCCTCTCCTATGTTTTAATATTTTCCTCTTCATAGCAACAATAGAATCTAATGTTGATCGTAGTGAGCCTGCAGCACTATTAACAAGATTATCAATTTGGGAGGGACTAAAGTTATTATAGGACTCTGTTATATTCAGACATGGCATTGAATTAAACACTGATGAAAGTAGGTAGTATAAAGTGCTTTGAGTCGTCAGAAGACTAGAAAGGCACTATACAAATGCAGTCAATTTGCAGAAATGTTGATTAATGGATGTTGTTCTTATAAATAAAGAAATGAATGATTTGCAGATGTTATTTAAACAACAAACCCACTAAGGTCAGTCATCATAAGTGCATCTACCCCATCTTTCTTTATCTGAGAGGAACAATTCCTCCAGAGAATATGTTACCCAACTGACCGCAGACAATTACCCACCCACAGCAAGATTCAATTACTAAATGCTCATACAAAGAATTGAATCACTGTAGGGTATATTACCAGCATGTTGAGAGTGACTATGGAGAGTTTGTTTTTAAATGACTTATCTCACTGTCACTGGTAACTCAGCAGTGAGTCGTGAGACCGTCTTCAGTAGAAGTTCAAATTAACTTTTGGAATCATACAAACCTTCACATTTCCACAGGTTGCGGACTTCGTTGATGACAGAACAGGATGTGACCTCAACATCACCATCATATGCTGTGCACATTGGATCGAGTTTAACAATCACAAACTCTAAGTTTAAAAAAAGCCCCTGATCCTGTTAAAAGCATTCATTTCCCTCTAAGCCTCTCACTTCCTTTTGAATCATGGTGCTCAGACTGGTGTTGTTTTAGTGTTTTTTGTGTGCCGCTTGTGTAAGTAGCAAGATTTCTCAACTCTCATCTCTCTTTGTGATTGTTAACAAGGGTTTGTACCATAAAATGAATCCTACACGCAACTTAAAAAGTTCCAGTGTGTAACATTTAGGATTGTCTAATGTCTATACTATTCATAGGTATGTTTTCATTAGTGTATAATCACCTGAAAGAAGAATCGAAAAATAAGAAAAGTTGTGTTTTTGTAACCTTAGAATGAACCATTTGTATCTACAGAGGCGGAGTCCACCATATCTCTATAGAATAGACAAATGAAATACTGGT